TCTTTTCTTTCGCAAGGGAAAGATCTATTTTAAGTGCAGTTTATCCACAGTATCTGTCAACCGCTATCAAAAAGGAAGAAAAAAAATGAGACCTTTTTCCTCTTTATTCCCTGTGGGCCATGACAGCCCCTTACATCCCATAGTCCCGCCCACCCCCTGCCCTATCTCAGGCATTAACAAGTAAAAAAAACAAAAAACAACATAACTCACGGAAAACTCAAATCAAGGCAAAATAAGGAATCCACTAACAAACCTGTGGGAATCTAACAGTGGATAGCGAGGCTTCGGGGCCCTTTTGCAGGAACATCCATGTGTGCCCTGCTGAAGTTTGGAGAAATCAGTGGACAACAATGGAAAAGTTGTGTTTGTGAACAGGTTGGAAAGTTTGGGTCAAAGGAAAAAAAATCGCTTTCTTCTTGCACGGATGTGGTTTCGGGAGTCGCCAACATGTAAGTTTCTGATAAGAGGATCACTCAGCTATCACTGTGTGAACGCAACAGTTTGTCTGCACTGATTTATTTTTTTATTTTACACACAAGAAAAGTTTTGGATAAAGCGGAGGGAATGGACGGCGGTGCCAAAGGTGTTTGGATACGTTTCATCGGTGGCAGTTAAAATTTGCGTGTGTGCGCTTTAACAGAAGAGAAAAAAAAGAACATGAACAATGGCTGGAAGAGAGAGGAAGAAGAACCCGGCTGTGTACCGCAGCGTTTCTTTCAAAAAGCTGAGCTCCTGGAGCGCCAACAGCTCTCAGGAACAGCAACACAAATCAGAGGATTTACAGGCAGCTGGCGTCGCCCTTCCCCCGGAGCTGAGCAGAGCGGAGCAGCCCTTGGCGACGAATAATGTTAGTGTGTCAAGAAAAGTTTCCAAAATCTCTGCCACCGCCAGCCTCTCAACCGCAGCTCTAAAGAGTTGCTCCTCCACTCCTCTCTCCTCCATTTCTCCATCCATCCGCCAGCTCACTCAGAAGTTCAGCAGCAGCAGCGGCTCCGTCAGGACGTACGGAGAAACACCGGGCGATGGTGCAGCAACCACCCGGGTGTGCAGCACTCTTCCGCGGGCCAAGAGCTGCAGGAGAGAGGGGTCTGTGAGTCGTAAATCTTTTCACGAGGACAACAGTGGTGGATGTTTGCAGGACAGTGATTCAACAACAACAACAACAACAACAACAACAACAACAGCTACAGCAGCAGCAGCAGCTCCCACGGGCATCAGAGTGCATAAGTTTCATTCAGGCACCGACTCTGTGTCTGGCTCAGACTCGGAGAAGAAAAGTGAGAAATTGATTTTAACCCATGTGCCGGCCGACAGCTGCAGCTCCGGTAAGAGACATTATTCTCAGATCAATGCATGTTCGCCTGACCCCAGGAAGTCTCTGATCACAGATGAGGAAGAGGATGTTGGTAGGAGAGGAGCTTCTACACCCTGTAAATCTCACAGAACTTATCTGGCCACTCACCACACTGACTTTATCCCCCTGCATGCAGACAAGTGGCCCAGTGTCACCAAAATTCGACAGATTTTTGATGGGGGACAGCAGGACAAGTTGGACCCGTGTCAGAATTTAAAAACAACTCAAGAGGTCAGCCCTAGTGAAAGTGGCCAACTCTCTGATCGATCTTGCGGCTCTCCTCTCTTTATAAAATGTCAGTCAGGAGCAGGGGGCAGTTCGGCCGAGGAGACATTTTGTTATGTTATGGACTTGAATTCCAAGGCTGACTCAGAGCACCTGCGTGACGAGGCAGGACACACAGAGACGAAAAGTTCTCATCGCAACCAAAAAGTTTCTGGCAGCAGGTACACTGGGCTTTGTCACTACCAAATAACCAACCCGTCCTCATTCAGATCTTACAGTCCCAGCACTGAGACAGACACGGTCTGTGAGACCCCTGAGGCGCCGAGGTTGACATCTGACCCCAACCCTGACCTTCAACCCCCTGCTGCTCCGTCATTGAGACAGTCGTTGAGTATAGACACCTCCCGCTGCTTCGACTCTCCTCAGCAGCCAACGGTGAGGGAGAGAAGGGATAGACAGGGGGTCGGGCTGCCCAGGGATAGTTTACATTCCTCACATAGCTCCACTAGAACACCAGCCCCCAACTCCTCCTCCTCCCCCTCTGCCGCTACAGGTCTAGATAGAGCCAATACCTCCTCCTGTACTGTAGCTCCCTCCTCTGAACTTAGAGCCCCAGCAATTGTTGTCTCTCCTATAACCTCCCAGTGGCGTTCCAGTTCTGCGGACGAAGAGGAGGAGCACAGCAGGAGAATCCAAGGAGATAGAGGAGAATGTTGGAGTAGTACCTCCAGCCCTACTCCATCTCTCTCCTGTAGAGGAGGAGAAAAAAGTGCCCCCGAACGAGTTGGCAGCTATTTATCCCGCAACAAAAATGGCTGGTGGGCTAGTAAACATATTGGCAGGTCTTCAGGCAGTGAGGAGGACAGCCCTGGTTCTTTAGGCTCCCACAGTCGAGAAGCTGTGCGGCGACGTTCTCTGAGAAAGAAGAAGAAAGTCGTTGGAGCTGCTCAAGCCACGGGGCGGGATAATTATGACGATCATAACGGTGAATCAGAAGACAGTGACAGTGACATGGCCATGACAATGGAGCGCACAGACAGGCGTCACCCACAGAGCAAAGGAGGGGACTATGTACGAACATTGTCTCGGAGTCTGTCAGCGAGAGAAAATTTCGGCCATAGCAACCGAGCTAGGGTGCAGCAGTGGGAGCGCATATCCTCATCCGCCAAATCCACAACGCTTCCTGGTGTTTCTCGAGTGTCAAAGGTCAATATCCCTTCATTTCTGTCCAGTCCTGGAGGTTCAGGTTGCAGCAGTAGATACTCCAGCACTGAAACACTGAAGGAAGAGTCGACGGCCAGCTGTGGCAAACGTGAAGCAAATATGATTTTTAACAAAAGTGAAGTCGGACGCAGCAATAACAGGCCCGCGTCCATGTCTATGCAGAGTAAAACCTACCATGGGAATTTTACTATGTACCGCTCCCCGAGTTTTGGCCATGGTGACAACTTCTCCCATAACCCTGCGGGAGTAAGGCCCAAAATGATACCCCCTGTGGCTTCCTCGCCTGGTGTAGGTCCTAGGCAAATCGTCATGTCGGCAGAAGCTAAGGATAGCGAAACCAAAGCATTGAAGAGAACAACTGTTGAAGGTGGGAGCGGTGACAGTAAAAACCAAATATCTACGTCCAACCCTGATATCACCTCTGACACCATGACGCTCTTAAGCTTCTTGAAGTCTGACCTGTCAGAACTCAGGGTGCGGAAACCAAGTGGGGGGGACAGATCCGGGGTCGTGGAGGGGTCAGCAGTGTACAGGATGGGCTCACGTCCTCATGGTGGCACTATACAGTCATCTGGTCGTCGGCCATCGCTGAAAGACCTGACTGCCACCCTTCGACGTGCAAAATCCTTCACCTATTCAGACAAACACAGCACGACTGACAGGTATGACATGGCAGGAGGTCCTGCAAAGAGGAGCTCCTCTGAGCTGGACTTGGAAGTAGAGAGGGTTTCAGTGTCAGACAGGGAGGTGGAAAGTGATGGAGGAGGTTTTGGAGTCAGGGCGGGGCTCAGAAGGAGAGATTATAGATTTGATGATGATGATGATGAGGTGATGCCGACTCCGTTGCAGGAGAAGTACGTGCAGGAAGCCCGGCAGGTCATACAGGATATCTGCCAAATGAGTACTAGGGAAGACGACGACGATGTTTTCTCAGTAAGAACTGATGATGATTTAGATGAAGAATGTTTTCAGGTCAAGAAAATGGGTGAGGTGAAGGAAAAAGAAGGAGTGAATGTACAAGATGAAGCCAGGAGAGGTGAAGATTCTCCGTCTAACAATAGAGAAGACAGAGATGAGCACGGACGTGAGAGGGGGATAGAGAACAGAGAGAGGGAGGGGGCGCAGTTAGAGAAGTTAAACAGCCGGGCCACAGACTACGGCGAAAAGGCACAAATGCAGCGAAGAGATGTGGAGAAAACCTTACTGAAGTGCGACTCAGAAGAAAACATGTTCTATGAGCGCTCTCTAGACGAACTCTCTGGCCACGAATCCAGTTTGACAGATGAAGGGATTGTAACGGAGCCAGAGCTTGGTCCACTCGACTGCTCTGACAGGTCATTCGTTGCCCCAGCAAGTATTATATTTGGATCTCAAACACCAAGGGACGTGACAGGGCAGCCAGTCTCAGTATGGAAACAGTCAGCTCTCCAAAAGGTACAAGGGTTTAAGAAGGATCTGGACCAAATAACCAAGAACAGTATCAGTTGTAACACTGACCTGAGTGCAGCCAGTGTAACTCCTTCCTTGCCTCCTTCTGCCTGTTTAGCCGAAAGTGACTGCATTATCACAGATAAGGATTCTGCATTAAATGTCAACAGCATCAACTTCACTGGAGAGGAGATTACCGTTAACAACAGAGGGCTCCAGGATTCTCCAGCCTCCCTGGCCAAAGGACTTGAAACCCCTGCAACTCCCAGTTCTGTTCGTCGAAGGCGCAAGTTCTCTCCTTCTGGTAGTGCCACGGGCTCTGACTCCAGCAATGGCAGTAATTCAGAATCAACAGTAGCTTCTGTTGGAAACGGGGAGTCTGCGGTGTACCGTTCTCTCAGCGACCCCATGCCTCAGCGGTGTTGCTCTGTAGCAGAGGAAGGCAATAACACATTCTCTTCTGTAGACAGTAACCTTTTAGGATCCTTGTCGGTCAAAGGAGGCGGCGGAGGTGTGTTGGAGGTATCCGATGTGGCCACCTCCTCAGAATACAAAGGCAGTGCCGCCAGTGATTTGTCCCTCTGCAGTGACATTGGACTGCGGGACGATTGTGTTCAAGACTACAGCGGAGTAATAAGAAGCATCGTAGCTGAACCAGGAGCCATGGACCGACTGATGACAGACGACCACAGCAACGGTAAAGGTCCAAAAAAGAAGTCCTTCAGTGATCCCAGTCGCCGCAGTGATGTCTCCTTGCTTTCCCAGAATGACCCTCAGTTTAAAGGTCAACCTAGCAGTTCTCAACCAATTGGCGAGATGGACCCACCGGGCCAGATCCCACCTTCTAGCAGTGAGCCAATTCTGAGTGAACAGAGAGAGCAACAGTGGATGCCGCAAGCTGAGTCTGCCCAGACAGGAAGTCATAAAGTCAAGAAGGTTCGATCACAGTCAGAGTGTCTACCTGTCCCTGATAGCCGCGATGGACCTGCGGATGTCACTGACCAAGGAGAGGAGAAAGATGACGAACTAGGAAAGTTTAACTTCAACCTCCATCTTGCTGAAGCGCTGTCTCCCAGAATGATTCGCCGGCCCTGCAGGAAACGTCCGAACAGACTGGCTCACTTTTTCTCTCACGAAGACCCATTAGAGCCTTCAGAATACTGTCCCGAAGGACAAAAGCATCAGAATGATCACAATGACCTCACTCCACTTCCTCCCAGTTCTCTGCTGCCACTCAAGTCCAGATCCAAAACGAAACCCAAGCACATCCGCCATGCCAGTGAACCTTCAACCTTCATCCCCATTTCCCCACCTCCACAACTGCAGCCGCTGAAAGAGGTAGACTGCCTTTCTCCCAGATCACCTGCAGGGGCACCAACGCCAGTTCAGTCTCCTGCAGAAGAAGCTCCATCTCTGCAGGATGCGACCCAGAAGTACAGTTTTGAACAGAGCACGACAGACAGACAATGTGAAGGCCCAGGCCCAGGGGCCCCTCAGGTGTCCAGGTATGGAGTCGATGCTTCGGCCTCTGCTTTAGAGGTGCAGAATAAGACCAGCAACAGTGGAATTACAGAACCCAGGATACAAAAGAAGGACGTGGAGGATGCTGTGCCACAGACGACCAAGCCCAGAGTGGTGAGTACAGTGGTGGTACAGTTTTTCTTTTGTTCTGCTCCTGCTTGGTCTCTGCGTTTTTTAAATTCTGGTTCTATTGTGCAGTTGTGTTGCCTCTGACTCTAGAGAAATGTTTTTGCAAATCTTACTCTGGGGCATTTGCATTTTTCCTCCAAAAATAGAAGGAAAACTATATTTCTTAGCTTGAACAACACAAAAACAAAACAAAAGTAAAAACATTCATGCGCTCCAGTTCCCTCCATTAGTTGTGTGTTTTCTGTGGCTGTCTATTCTTAAATAGTGACATTTGCCAGACTAACTACAGTATCTAACTAAGTACATACTTAAGTGCCCCGGTATTTAAATGGGAGCAGCACAGCGTAGAGTATTTACAAGTACATTATTTGTGGTTTTCTGCAGCAGAAGCTTAAACATAGTGGAAACTTCCCAGCAGACTGGCCCTTCATACAGACATTAGAGTTTTACCAGAAGCAGCGGAATCGAGAAAGAATGCATCTGTCGTTCACTGCTCTGGCATCCAGTGGAAACCAGGCCTGACTGGCAGATGCTTAGTTGTTGTAGCTTAGGTGCTGAGATTGAGTACTGACAGTTTCCATCTGTGTCTTAGGTTTCAGTATCAGTGTCTGTGTGTTTGAGTGTGCGAGTTGGCATTCACACAGCTGTGTCCAAACATTAGGGAATTTGTTATTCTGTCATGTAGTTACAGCAAGGGCGACTAATGGGGCTGTGAAGATAATCAGCGTTCAATCATTCATCAACCAGGTCCTGTCAACTGCACTGTTGTCATTTTGACTTTTGACCATATATAGTATTTTATATCTAATACTTTATTACTTTTTTTTTTTTTGTATTGTAATATGCCAGGTTAAGGTCCTGTCAACCACAGTGTTCTCAGTCATTATGACTTTGTGGCTTTACCATATATAGTATTTTATATCTAAGACTTTATTACTTTATTTTTTTTTGTATTGTAATATGCCAGGTCAAATTGTATTTGTATAAAGGTGATTCTGGTATTGATTTTTCCTCCGCAGAGGAAAAAATCTTGAATAATATACTGTATTGTTCGGGCTAATGTTCTTAGACATGCAAAAGCGCTGTGGTCTCCATCACTTCATGCTGGTCCATGTGTTTTCAATGTGCACAGATGTTGAACGACCGAAAACAGACTCATCTGAATACTTTTACAACTTCATATCTACTGGGAGAAACCAAACTAGTTTTTTAAGAACTTAATTTTTTTGATTTACTCTTAAATTATTTATATATATATATGTATGTATGAGAACTTAATTTTTTTGATTTATTCTTAAATTATATATATATTTATATATATGTAAAATATATAAAATCTTATTTACGTAAAATAAATTAATATTACAAATATAATGCAATATGTATATAACACTGTGTGTGTGTGTGTGTGTATATTCAAATTAAAAGAAAATACTAAATTACTAGACATTTGGACAAATATGTACTCTTTATTTACATCAAACAATATTTTAATCTGTGTCACAGCTGAACTATGAATATGTGCCAAAATGTTTTTTGCTGTAGTGATCAAGTAAAATGTCCCATTGACTACTACATACAACTACTTCAAGTAAAGTCTTGGTGTGTGTGTGTGCCTTTGTTTAGCTTGACAGATTGGAACATTGGAGACTTTATCCCTTTGGGAATGCAGTCTGTAGGAATGTTGGACTATAACTGTGGTCTAGACCTTGAACCATGGTCTGGGGATCGTGGCCTTCCTTCAAGTGTTGGAGGGTTTTGTTTGTGTTGCGACCAATTGTTTGTTATAGGACCTTATTGTTCAACTGATGACTACTGATGTGCCGATGCTTTTACCAGAGATTGGGTTTGTTCGATTCCTGACCCGATACCATTGTTGGATTAATAAACACTAACCTCACCATCTGACAGAGACTAAAGGACATCAGGACCGACCGTAAGATTATTTTCCAGGACTTCTCACTTTTCTTAAAATTCATAAATGTTAAAATAAACGGGGAATAAAAATCTTTCCGAACATGAAAAAACAGGAATTATCAATTATTTTGAATTATCAAAAATCAAAAGGTAAAACATAATAATCGAAACTAAGAATAAACCTAAATGATCCTTTAACCAAATTCACTGAATTGCTGCAGGTGCTGCTAACATATGGCGTCTCAACCACAGAATTCAGGTAAATTGATTGGAATCAAAGATTGGACCATTGTCAAATGTTTATTTCTGACGTTGGTTTGTTGGAGTGCAGGTGTGACATGCGGGGGCATCAGTCCATCTATTAGTCTTCGTTAGATGTTATTTGACTTCCTGGTCCATTGTTTCTTCTCGCTGGTATTGTAAAAGCAGCTGCAGCAGCAGCGGAAGCAGCAGGAAACCAAGCCGGTTCCGCAGGAAATGAGTGGAGAGAAACAGGAAGTCGTTGTGGTCTCTGCAGTGTTTGATGATCTGGAGCACTACCGGTTGGTGTGTGTGTGTGTGTTTGACTTCCCATACCGTGTCTGCCAATTAGGGTCATTCATTTCAGCAGCTCTTTAGCTTTTTGTGCACGATGAGTGTGCGTGTGTGCCAAACAAATGGAGCACAAAGACGTTAATGAAAGAAAATTAGCTTAAAAGAAAAGGAAGAATCAAAAAAAGGGAAGTGACAAAGTGGTAACTTCAGTGGAGTCCTGGCTCAGTGTGTCTTCCTCACTGTTACTCCTCTTCATCTCTTAACCATTAGAACTGCAGCACAGGGAGTAATGTTTGAAATCAGGCCTGGGTGGAAAAAAAAAAAACCTCAGCTGTGTCAGACTTGGCTGCCTTTAATGCTGATATCAGCTAAGGTTCATCACTCATTTGCGTTAGCTAACTACCACTTAAGTTGTAAAACAACAGACTTGTAATCAGAGGTTTGCTGGTTTGCTGGTTTGAATCCCAGTCTGGGCGGAGATATGGTGAGTTGAGGAAACACAAAAAAAAAAAAAAAAAGCTCGCAAATGTGTGTTTTCTTTGACAGGCCTGGGCAAAACTAAGGCCCGGGGGCCAGATCTGGCCCATTCAGCTTTTTAATCCGGCCCGCCAAACTTTTACTAACTATATAATTTATTTATATTATCATTACACTTCTGCCATTTCCCTGCAATAGCCACGCTTCCCCAATAGATGGCGTAGAAAATGATAAAAGCAGTTTAGCATTTTAGCCTTTATGCATGACTTTTATGTGTCATTTATCTTAGTCCACACTGACCCTCCATCTATCTGCTCCTGACCCCCCCACCCCCCTTCCCCTGTTCAATTTTAGAACAATTGTGGCCCACAAGTCAAACACTTCGGGGAAGAGCCGAGCTGGAGCAGCAGGGTGGGTCAGGGTTCAGTTCAAATAATTTAGTCCACATTTTAAGAGAACGTTCTTATTGTTATTCATTTGTCTCCACATCTTAATGTCATCTTCTATTTGGTCGCCTCCCAGTCCTGTCTTCATTTTCACCCCAGCTGTTTTGTCAGTTGTGGCGTCTTATTTTCTAACCCGACACATTGTACAAGTATTTTACATTTTTATGGCGTCATCTCATTCTTTCTCAACAGCCCTTATTGTCCGATACTTAAATCTCTCTCTCTCTCTCTCTCTCCCTCTCTCTCGGGGGCTCGCTTTCTGTTTGGAACATTGCAGTGAAGTGAAGTCATAACATTTGTTTTGGTGTACGGCAGGCTGCCGAGTCAAATGTCAGGTTGAGAGGAGAAGAAAGGACAGAGAGTTGGAAAGAAACGTTGGCAAAACAGAGTTTCAGGGATCAAACTGATGAAGTGAAGAGTGAAAGTGAGTTACAGAGAGGGAGAGAGAGAGAGGGGGGGGTCGCAGTGGGGGGTGCTGGGTGGATCATGTACACACCACTGAGATTTGTCAGTTAAAGAGACTGATTTTCTGTCCTCATTGTTTGACTAAATGTATAGAGGCTCAGTAGGTAGTTGAGTTGTCGAGGGTTGCTGGTTCAATTCCAGACATGGTAGGTTCTTGTGCTGCAATTAAAGACTAGTACTTGGGTTATAACGTGGGTTATCTTACCCCCAACGGGACCATAAATAAAATATTGAAGTCTCTTAAGTCTTGCTGCAACCACCCTTACATTAGCTGCGGTCCCCATAAGGGGGTCCCACCCCCAGTTTGGGAACAGTTAAGTCATTTGTCCAAAACTGGTGCCTTAAAACAAGTCAATCTCTCTGAGCTCTAATCTCAGCAGTCGTTTAAACAGTTTCTAACGGAGAAGGCAGCAGGAACGGCGCCATCTCTCTGCTTCACCTTCCGTTACATAACAGTCGTCACCATGTGTGTCATAAAAGCCGGCCACACTGTAACTTTTCATAGCTGCTCATGAAACTTTGATGGGGATGAGTAAAACAAAAAAAGGCACCGCATCGTGACAAATCTGTTGAGGGATCAGTCCACTGACGGCAGCGCAGGCCGGGGAGGCTGAAGGCCGCAGCGGTGCTAACGAGACGCAGAGGAGAAAGACAATGTTTAGTTTGTGCTCTGCTCTCTGTGGATTAGCTCTAAAAGCAGAGCTGTGTTGAGCTGCAGATTTATCACCCGCTTTGTTTTTATCAGACCACCCAGACGGAACGCAGCACTTTGTGTCCATCTAGGATTTCCCTCTTTCTGACCCTGATCCTCCTGAAAACAGCCAAAGTTGTGAACTTTCCACAGCAGTCGGGAGTAGCGGCAGTAAACAATTCCCTTTGACAAAACTCACACTGCGAACACCGCAGGTACAGATCGTGGGTCGTTCTCCTAAAATGGAAAGGTCGGCCACGTAAAAGGTTCAAAAGACTAGATGAAAGGATGACGATGCAGGTCGTTCTAGTTAAATGTCGCCGTCTCACAGTGGACGCGGAGGAAGTGGAGGGATGAGTCAGAGGATAGAATGTCACTCTGCAGAAACTGAGGTAGATCTTCATGTAGGAGTTTCACCTCCAGCTGGTGATGGATGAAAATTCAGGAAATAGCTC